CCAAATGAGGAGGAAGCGAGTGCAGCTGGCCAGTGGCTCTGCGACTGTGGGAGTGTCCCAGCAGGGCTGCAAGGAGGGCAACTGCGATGTCTGTTGCTGAGTGTTCTTTCTCTGCACAACTTATTGAGTCCTGATAATCTACTTTCAGATTTTTGGAAGTGTAATCACGTGTTTCAAGTTAGGGTCTTTGTAATTTTTCTCACAATGGATCCCTTTGGCACGTGTTAACGGCTAAGGGAGCAGGTGTGGGTGGAAATGGATCATTCCTCTCCTGCCAGCCCTCCTGCTGCCTGCCCTTCCTGCCCTGCACCCCAGCCAAGCCAGCTCTCTCAGGAAGAGGCTACTTGGAGACCCAGCTCCTTAGGAGCTAATACTCAGAATACAGCAACCGGCGTGGTATGGGATGGGGTGGTGTGGGCACTGACTGTTCCAGAACGACACAGGGCGTGAGCCACCATGGCTGAACTTCTGCCTTGACTTGACTTCTATTTGCCCTTCTGTCACACTCAATGAGAGCCCAGCCCCCTTGCCACGGCTCGCTCAGGCTCCTGGTTCTCCTCTCCTCCTGTTCAACCCTCCTTCCCCTCTGCTCTGGCAGCACAGCCTTCCTGCTGGTGCAGGAACATCTCCAGCTCACCCCACCCCAGGGCCTCCTTTCTTGCGGGTGTCCTGGTTCACTCCCTCATTTCATCCAGGTCTTTACTCAACTATTTCATTTCCCAAGAGGCCCCCACTACTACCCCGGGCACCTTCTTTCTGCCTGCCCTGCTGGTTTGTTGTTTTTTTTTTCATGGTGCTGGATTTATGCATTATGGCTTCTCTCCTTGTGGCAGAATCTAAGTTCTGCGAGTGCAGGGATGTTCTCTCTCCTCACCCATGGGACCACTGTGTCACTCACTACATCCCAGCTTGGTGCCTGGCATGTAGCAGATGCCCATAAAACATTTGCTGAATGAATGAATGTGCACTAAAACCAACTTGAAATCCTGCCTGTTTCCTCCTGTGCATGCGAGATTCCGTGCAAACACGGGGTTGGAAATATGGCAAATGGAAGCTTTAAGAGAATAGATTTGGTAACGATCTGAGAGTCATCAAAACAGTGCATGCCCTCCCGTTTTTTGCTTGCAGCCTGGTTTTGCAGTGCTTTCTCTTAGGATTAAGGTATTGTTGGCAGAATCAACTCTTTTTTTATTTTCAGGAGACTAATACTGTATCATATTTCAGTATTTGGGCTCACTTTTTAGTTGCCTATATCTAGCCATTGAATGGTATCAGTTAACAATATCAGCCTTAAGCCCACTGCTAAGCTTGGCTTCTGCACTGCACTGCGGGTCTCAGGGCTGTCAGTAAGAGTAACGTGACTGTGGCTGTTATTGCTCTCATTGCTGATTTCATCTGACTCACAAGTGAAGGCGCGCCTTCCTCCTGTGTTTGCAGCAGTAGGTCTGAATTACCGTGAAGTGAGTTCAGCTGGCATGAGCTCGCAGGGTGGTGCAGCGAGGGCTACCACCACAGGTGCATCTTCCTCTGTGGGGCTCCTTATGGCCCACCTGTTTTCCATAGTCCTCTGTTTTGTCGGAAATGGAAAACGAAGGCCTCCTGGTTGATTGCATGTGTATGTAGGTGTATAACGTGATGGGCATTTCCAGAGTGTGCCTGGGCAAGAGGATCTGGGCAAGGGGGCAGGGCCTCCAGCTTCACCCGCATGTGTCTGCTCCTTCCTGGGGGCCAAACAGTGTGTTTGACACCCTTGGGCACGCAGCATTTGAGAAATAACAGGTGTCTCTGTCCCCAGAGAGGGTACCTTTGCTAACTAGGATTTGTTTGCTGTTGACTTAGGGGATGCTGATGTTCGAGCAGCTCCCTTGTCCCTAACTGTGTCATTGGAACAATTGGTGACCTTTCTCTTAACAAGAAGGATAAAGGAGCCCATTCATTCATTCATTGGACATATTTTCATGGAATGCATGATGTGCTTGGGGTGTGCTATCACTGAAGACTCTTCAGGTTGCAGGATCCCTTAATACACGACCTAATGAATGGCTGACTCCTGCCAAGAACCAGGGCAAAGCTTTTTCCATAGCTTTGACTGTACAGGGTTAGTTATCCTTGGGTAATGCTTTGTGACACTCTAAGGACAATGATGAAAAATTAAATATGGTCAAGCTCATTTGTCTCAGGGGCCAATGGGCTGTTGGGATGCCCGAGCCCCAAATGCCATTTTGAATTATTTTTTAGTTACTAGACTACCTTCGACTGAACCACCTACAATGGCCTATATTTGACAGTTTTTTCACTATATAAAAACTACAAACACTCTAACTTTTATCAGGAGGGTTCACAAAGAACAAAACTGAGATTGTTTCCTCTGGATCCCTCCCCGCTGAGGACAGGATATGAGTGTGTCTGGGGCTGACACGGCCCTGGGAAACTAAGATACAGGAAGGCGGGTGTTGCTCACTCCACACTTATTTTTATAATCCCTGGTGGCTGTCATTGCATCATCTCCTTGTGGGGGAAAATGTGGCAGTGTTGGTGGCAGAGGACACAAATTCTAGTCTCAGCCCCTCCAATTACCAGCGACAGGCTCCTCACAAGGCCTGCGCATTCCGAGTGCTAATCTAGACCGGTTCTTGGTGTTCCCATAATCATTATGAGCTGTGTGACTTTGGGCAAGTCAGTGAACCTCTCTGAGCCTCAATTTCCTTTTTGGGAAAATAGAGAAGACATTCATGAAAACGCTTTGTAAAGTGCTAGAGAAATGTTCAGCAGAGGTTAAATGACTAGGCATCGGCTTATGTTTCCTTGCTTTATTTTTTAGGAAAATAGTAACATTGGGGACTTAAAAAAATTCCTTCCTGTAATATACGAATTCAGTAAGGACAGAATCATAGGCAGTGAGATGGAGGCGGCAGGCTCATAGGCAGGGTTGGCCGGAGCTTTTGTCTCCTAATTGATCTAATGTGCTAAGTGGGCTTAATGTAAGTTAATTAATGATACTATTGGTGGGTGGAATACCTAGGCAGAGCCACAAACAGCATCAAAGGAATGAGCAGGCAGGTGTCATCCAGGATAATTGAGGCATGCAGGCAGCCACCAGGCAGGCTAGGAGGAGGGTGAGGGGAAACTGAGCCCAGCTGAGGGGTTGAGCCACTTGAGCAGCAAGGCTGTCTGCCAAACGCCATCCTGTTTACAGCTCCTGTATTTGAATTTCAGATTTGCTTGAGTCTTTGAAGCTGGGTTCCTGGGCGTTTCCTGGAGAATAAATTCTATTCTTTGGAAACCACAAAACGCACTCACCTGGACCCAGAAAGGAGCGTCAGGTAACCCAGCTTCCGTCTGTGGGCCTGTGACACCTGAGGAACTTTGATGAAGAGGCTCCCTATTTAACAGAGGCAAGTCGGTTTTGTGCTCCGTGAGATGGGGTAAGACCAGGTCTGTCTGCACTCCCGAGCAATGCTGGGCTGCCGCCCAATGGCAGGCACTGGGCTAGGCATTGAGGCTACCATGATGCCTGAGAAACGAAGATGAGCCCCTGACACTTCTGAACTTCACAAATGTGTATCCCCAACAAAATGGAAGTCCAGCTCACAAAAGCAAGAAACCAGGTAGCGGCCAGGGAGTGAAAATCAAGCATTTCAGGGAAATTGTATTTACTTTTTCCTCTCGAAGACCGGTCCTTCCAAGATTATCCTCCAACTGTACTGTCACAAATTAATCCTCCCACGGCACAGCCTGGCCCACTTAGGGATGGGGAGGGGTACAGCGGAGACCCCCGCTGATCACCACCAGGATCGCCAAACTTTCCCAGCTGTGAAGGGTGCACGTGGACAGTCATCGGAACAAACGCTTATTTCCCAACCTTGACTAGAGTCACTCTCTTTTTGGTAGCCTCTGTCAAAATGTATCTTTAAAGGCTTTAAGTGGCTATGACAGAAACCTCAGCGTATCAAGCCAGGAAAGACACATTCTCTATTTTAGATGCCTGGATCCCTTTTCTCCTTCAGTCTATTATGGCTCTTCACCTCTTTGTTACAGTTTCACTCTTGCTTAAAAAGTGTCTCAAAAATGCCACTTGAGAGCCACAGAGCAGTGGCCTGGGGACCGGGGAAGAGGACGGTGGTGCTCCTGCCTCTCCATAAGTCTCCTCATATGCGTGTGCCCCTGACTGTGTGGGACTCCCCACTGACCGGCATTTGCCCTCGTAGATTTGAACTGTCCCTCTTGTTGCTGACCCAGCACAACATGGGCAGGGGAACCCAGTGGGAACCTCGCCTGCTGTCCTCCCTTCCCAGCCACCTTCTTCTCCCTGAGCTGATATCTCAAAGCCTGGCTGCTACGGGAGGCTGGGAATCAGAGCCGGCTCCTGTCTAGGAGCCCAAACAGCCCCACTGTCTGTCAGAGTGTTGAGAGGAACCTCTTGGCTGGAAATGAAAACCTCAATCATCACAAATAGGTACCCATTCCCCTCCTTCTCTCCCTCTCCCCACCCCTCCACCACCAACACAGAGGCCAGGATATGGGGGGGTCTCAGGCATGACTGGATACCCTACTTGGAAGGTCTCTTAGGGCACAGCAGGTACACAGAGTTGGAGGCAGGTACAGAGCCCAGCTAGAGTCCCAGCCGCGCCTGCCTTCCCCAGTGAGCCGGGCACAGGGGCAAACCTGAGAAACATACTTTTCACGCTCCCTGGAGGAACCCGTTGCTTCAGTAGCCCAAATCTTAAAGCCTGTGAAGCGCACACAGAATTTGGCTCCCTAACCAAATGTGCAACCAACAGCAAAATGGGGTTTCTGATGTTTTCCTGAAAACAAAGGAACAATCTCAGGTCTTATAACTGGTAGCGCAGACATACTGCAATCGGTAAAGCTTGTTCAAACGCAACCCAAAAATGACATGCATTTCAAAAATGCACCCAGGCTCTCTCCCAGCCCATGACACCTCCGTCTCGGCCACAGCTGAAGAGTTTAGAAAACCAGAGGAAAGGACCAAAGCTTACCCGGCTTCTGTTGTGGGTCAGCTTCAGTCCCAGCAGAAGATGGGTCTGTGAAGAAAGCCAGGTACATCCAGTTCTGGGTGACAGGCTTCACCGGTGGCTACCCTGGCAGCCCTCTCAGAAGCAGGTACTCTATGTCCTTAGGGGCCAGTAGGGCTGCCTGGGACCTGGCACACCTCTCTGCCACCAGCCTTGCTTCTTTTCCTTTCAATTTAAAGGGCTTCCCGGGAACTCTTCCTTTACTGCTCCCTGTCCTGTCTGCAAGTTTGGAAACGCAGTCCTTGCGGAGGGGCTTTCCCTCATTGCAAACTCACCTGCACCATCTAGAGGTCTCTCCCAGCACTGGAGAGACTGGAGCGGGCACGTTCAGCCCTGCTGCCATAGGTCCCTGGCACACCTGGCTCTCTGGACGTCTGCCCCTTCAGAGATCTGTTGGAAGGCATAAAAATCATTGCCTTTTTTTTTTTTTTTTTTGCTGGGGTGGGGGTCTTGCTTCTATCAGAGCCTTTAGGCATGGGAGTGCTAAAAACCTAAACTAGCATTAAAATATCATTAATCAAAGCTTGTTCGTAGAAGGACCCCCCACTGAGATGGCTACAGGCATGGGTGCCACTGCACGATTAGCTTCCAACATGTCTATTCACATTCTCACCCATCCCCCGCACATCCCTCAGGGTTTGAGCCACCAGGACTGCTCTTCCTTTCCCTGGACACCTCACACCACCAGTGTATACCCATGTAACTTCAGATAACCATACACACCCCCTGTAAACTAGGTAATTAGGAAGCCATTTGAAACACAAACATTTTGGAAGGACATACCTTTCAGTATTGGGCAATTATTTCTCAAAAAGTAAATGATGGGGGCGGGGGGGAACCAGCCTTAAAATAATGTAATTCTCTTGTCATTTTCTCCCTCATTCACACCTACACAGATAAATACAGGAACAGAGCAGCTCCTCCAGGCTAGATTTCTGTGTTCTCCTTTTCCATCTTGCCCCCTCTGTCTTGGAAACCTACAAGGTAACTCACACGTGAGAAAGTAAGAGCTTAAGAAAGAAACAGTCTGGGCATGGTGGCTCACACCTGTAATCCCAGCACTTTGGGAGGCCGAGGCGGGTGGATCTCTTGAGGTCAGGAGTTCAGGACCAGCCTGGCCAACATGGTGAAACTCTGTCCCTACTAAAAATACAAAAATGAGCCAGTCGTGGTAGCATGTGTCTGTAAACCCAGTTACTCAGGAGGCTAAAGCAGGAAAATCGTTTGAACCCAGGAGATGGAAGTTGCAGTGAGCCGAGATTGTGCCACTGCACTCCAGCCTGGGCAATAGAGCGAGACTCTGTCTAAAAAAACAAACAAACAAAAAAACCAGAAATATATGGGGCTGGGGCAAGGACCTTGACTGTAAAGGACTAATTCTGCCTCCACAGAGATTAAGCTGAACCAGAATTACTTGGCTGACTTGACCCTTGTGGATGATTAATCTAGACAATATAAGCTCCCAAATGAGAATTTTAACTTGAATTTTCAGGTTTGGCTGTCTACCCTGCCCATGCCGAGTTCAGACTGAGGGTCTGGATAAATTAAAGTCACTGCAATTATTAAATTAGGAACCTGGGAAAATGAATGGGAGGTATTCTGGGCTAATCTGTTTTATTCATGTAATGTTGACTTTCTGGCGTGCCCACCGTGTGTCTGACGTTCAGGATTATTTTAGGTGTAACTAAACCTTCTTTTTTTTTCTATTGGAAATTAAGTGGTGATTTAAAATTTACCAGAAACAAATGATACTGACATTGCCCAAAGAGAGAGAAAAAAGACACGAGAAAAAATTAAAATGGCACAAAATATGGATGCTGTAATAGAAGCCAAGGGAGTTTTTTTCCTCTCTTTGAAAAAAAATCCAAACGTCATGGCATTAGGCAATGGTTATACTTGAAGTCTGCCTAGTCATCATATTCAAATGAAAATGAGTATATAATTAATTCAGTTGATTAAGAGAAAGGATGAAATGAGAAATCATTGCTTGTCTTCATCATGTAAGGCCCCAGAGCTTTGAAGACATGTGATTTTCTGTTTTATACATTTCCTAAGAGACTGAGGCAGAAATAGCAAAAGGTTATCAATAGCGTTTTTCAAATAAGAACATGAATCAAGACTGCAGACCATGGTTGGGCGAAAGGGGTCTCCTGGGGCTGTGTTCTAAATGTAGAACAAATTTAGAAATGATGAATGTAATTTAGAACAAATGAACTGTAATTTAGAACACATGCTTGATACACATAACAGCCCAGCCAGACACCTGCCCCCTTCGTGGGGTGTGCTCAAATGCGTGGCCAGGAGTCTCGTGGAGGGGCACAACAGGCAGGCCGGCCCCAGCTCTCAGCTCCACTGCAACAAAACTTTGCAAGTGATTTTAGACAGTCAGTGGACTCCCACGCCTGTAAAAAACACTCACGGGTTGGTAAAAATGATCTTACAGATCAGATAATTTCCAGTGAGTGAAACGGAGCCATATTCTGGTCATCATGATTTTAAATTTGTGTCTTTTATTTTTTTGGTGAGACGGAGTCTTTCTCTGTCGCCCAGACTGGAGTGCAGTAGCGTGATCTTGGCCCACTGGAACCTCTGCCTCCCAGGTTTAAGCAATTCTCAGCCTCCCGAGGAGCTGGAATTACAGACACGTGCGACTGTGCCCATCTAATTTTTGTATTTTTAGTAGAGACGGAGTTTCACCATGTTGGCCAGGCTGCTCTCAAACTCCTGACTTCAAGTGATCCTCCTGCCTTAGTCTCCCAAAGTGCTGGGATTACAGGTGTGAGCCACCACACCTGTCTTAAATCTGTATCTTAATTACAAATCTCATGTTGTGTGAGCAGAAAGAAAATCCTTGATACCCATTACCCCATCAAAGTAGCATTCTTCTATGCCATCATGTTCACGTGTTTATTCACGCAGCAAATGCACGATGTGTCTTCTACGTGCCGGCACTGTTCCAGTTGCTGAGTAGATCACAATGAGAATGACAGTCAAAATCTCTGGCCTCAAGAAGCTTACGCTCTGTTTGGGGAGGCACAGAGCAATCAAGTTATGAAATGGAGATGAAAAGTACTTTCTGGCCGTGATAAGCAAGGATGCATAGGATGCCTGGATTATTTGTGTTTGTAGGCGGGGGGAGTACCAGTCGGCTGGTGACAGTTTCCTGCTACTAATTACTGTCTCAAAAAGTGGCACGGGATCCAACACTCCAAAAGCAAGGTGCTCCTGTCTGGCAGCTGGGCCCTGACATATCATTGGCTTTACCTAACAACTCACCACAGCAAGTAAGCTTCTGGCTACCTACAGGTGAAGTTCATCTCAGAAAACCTTCCAGGAAATGACATTGCTCAAATCCTAAGACAGCGCGTGCATATTTGGTGAAATGTTTTTAAGCTCATGGTGACACCCACTAAGTTATTCAGAATAAAATGATCACAGTTCTGTCTATAGTGTAGAATTGGCAGCTTCAAATTTGTCCCAGAACTGGAATTGCTTTCTGGAAGAACGTTATCCCTGCCTCGTGGGACAGTGGCTCACAGGACTGACCTGGCCTGGCTTCTCTGCTTTCCTAAGATGCATTTGTCCCCAGCTCTGTCAGTGGTGACCTCACAGGGCTCTGCCCTCCTCAGCACTAGCCAGCTAGTTTTTAAAGTATCATCTCAGAGCCCCTGCTACGCAGGTGGTCACAGCTCTGTAGGCAGAAAAAACAGGAACATAAATATTTGTGATTTAAAGTCTCTCTTAGGAACCACACCTTCCTTGGCTTGCAAATGTGCCTAAAATACGAGAATGGAATTGGGTGATATGGAGGACACCAGCAAGCCGATGGGGCATAAGGGGTGTGAAAGGTGGTGCTTTGGTTGAGAAGGAAAGCTCACACAGAGACTCGTGAAGGAAGGAGGCAGTCCTGCGGAGTTGGGCAGAAGGTGTTTTAGACGGACCAAAGATTTTGTGCAAAGGTTCTGTGGGGCCAGCAGCCAGGTGTGCTGAGGAAACTGAGAGGAAACTGTGACCATAAAGCAGGGGAGCTGGCCTGGGAGGCAGCTGAGCCCCACATTCCATGTGGGGGCTGGACAAAAGGGTATGGATTCTCTTCCAAGTATACCATGATTTGAAGATAATGGAAACTTGTTTCAGAAGTAGAATGGGCCACTATCCTTAGCAAAATGAGGAAGGGGAGAGACCAAGTTTGGGGGAGTATTTGCACAGGGAGGGCCTTTAGGGTGTCATCTAGACACAGCAAGATGAAATGCTAAGTGAACCACCACTGTCAAGCTTGGGTGATCTGTCCTCCCCCAGCATGAATTCAGATGGGACGGCTCCAGGTCAAAGGCAGACGAAAGAGCTAGGCTTTGCGCTGATTGTACCCTACTGGAGAATGAGATTCTGCATTTAGTTATTTAACTAAACTTCGAACACTGACCCCCTGCTGCTGATTAAACAAAAGCCTGACTTTCCTTTGGCTACCTGCCTTAGTTTGGGCTGCTGTAACAAAAATCCCGTAGGCTGGGAGGCCTCAACAACAGATACTTGTTTCTCCCAGTTCTGGAAGCTGGGAAGTCCGAGATCAAGGTGCCCAGCAGACCCAGTGTCTAGTCATCTCTCATGGCAGAAGGGGTGAGGCAGCTGTCTGGGGTGTCATTTACAAGGGCACTAATCCCATTCATAAGGCTCCATCTCTAGCCTCCATGACCTAATCACCTCCCAAAGACCCCACCTCCAAATACCATCACCTGGGAGCTTAGGATTTCAATATATGAATTTAGACACCCAGACCACAGCACTTCCCCTTTGCCCAGGAGTCCCCCCATGGACACCTTATTAAAAATGCAAGCTGGATTTGGAACACAGCTGTCAATAATGACTCTGGTCACATAAAGGAAGGACCATAATTAACCGCCTCCATGGATGAGGGAAAGCTCCAGGCCAGGAGCTGTGTGCAGGGTGAGGGTGTGCCCTCCCCCGTGGCCTGAGCTCTCTCTGCTCCCCAGCCAGGGTTTGAGACGGCCCCCACCACCTCCATTATGTAAGCAGTGAAATCATAATTGAAATTGATCCTTGCTGAGAATGGCTTTACGAGCTTGAATAGTGCAAAGGTTCAAATACTAAATCTTTTTTATGACCAGTAATATTGTCATTTAGCTCAACAGTACACATCACTATGTTTTTCTAATAAAGGAAACCACAAGAGTATTATAAAACCTATTTGCACGATACCAGAAAAATTAAGAGAGGAGAAAACTGAGTTTAGAAATATGAAATATTGATGTCTTCATTTGAAAATCAACAAATTCATCCTTCCAATAGGCGAGTACATATTTCTATCATAAATCATGGCCCCAGGGGAAGGGATTATGGTGT